ATNTAGTAGTATGTATAGTACGTACGTATATATATATATATATATATATATATATATATCACTTGTATATACACGTACTTTTAAATGTATATATGCTCATATGTAGGTGGAAGTATCCGCGTAACTGTCTTGACATGTTTTCCTATGGTGGTTTTTCATATCTGATTCAAGTTTCGCTGGAATCTCACAGGGTTGCTTACTCACAAAAGGATGTGAAACTTACCTTCAAGAAAGCCGGGAAAGATTTTAAGGATGTTGACGGCATTGCATACATTTCAAGTCAGAGGGTAAGTGCGTATACATTAAGGTGAGAGATTAGTTCAACCTTATTTTTCTACCTGCGATGATATATCAAACTGAATCTCGGATAGGGGAGCATGAATATGTTGGTCTGAGATGAAGAAGTGTTCGGTTAGACCGATGCGTTGAAAGCATTCTGAACCGAAATCACGAACACGGTTGGGGGATTATTTGCGATCAGACCGTGGTAGCAATTTTCCTTTATACGATCGGCTTTGTAATGGGTTGTCTTTCAACTAATCTGTAGTCATACTGTTTAATGGCATGCGTTTCATATAGATCGTTTTCGCCGCGACGAATCCGAAGAAATTTCAAACGATTGATATGCCCAGGAGGTGTATCAAAGATTTGAATGTTGAACAACCTGTCTTCGGATCCAACTACATCAGTCTAAGATTGGAGCCGGAAGTAAACGGTACGTTTTTTAATGAAGCTAAGTATGTTAAGATAGAAGAACATCAATTCAACTAGTGTTACCTCTTGTATGTCGAGGCATCCGCAGGTAAATCATGTTCATGTCTCTGGCAACGAACAAATCGAAATTATAGGTGGTTTAGATAGAACCGAGGAAGTGAAGATGGATTTCAAGGCTGGAGGCGCCATCAATTTTGCGAAAGCCGCCAACGTATCTTTTCGGCAAGCAGGTATGTTAATTTTTGTGTCTAATTCTGCCACCGTTAAGCCTCCTCCCGTTGTATGGTTTGTGTACAGGGTTTGTATGCATCTGTGCGTGAGCTGCACCACTTTATTCCCCACGTATGACTGTATGACGTGTGTATATTTCCCCTTGGTTCGTTGCTACACACGTTATCGCACTTACGCCTCTCTTTTCCTATTAGCTGTGTTCACGATGTCCAGCTGCAAGGCTATCGCCAAACCTATCTACTTTCAGTTGTCGGAGTAGAATTGTATTTGCTATACTTCGTGCTTCACAGCTGTGCCTTGTGCCTGGCTATGTATCAATTACAACCGTCCCTAACACTGCTTGTCGCTATGTATTGTATCCATTTTCACCTGGCTACTGTTTTTTCGCAGCTATCAATACAGGGATTGTTCCACAGCAGCAAGGGCATGGACCTGCAATGCCACAAGAGGCCGGCAAAGTTGGCCCTGGTATGTAATTTTATACTCGTGTCCACATATGCAACTGCATATATATATATATATATATATATATATTGCATGCATATATATGCCATACATATATATCGCGCACACACACACATATA